AATAAGAACACAGTAATCTTTTACACATTTTCTCTGCAGTTGATTTGTAGCACGTTATATTCCCTGAATCCAAACAAATTATTACTTAATATAGTAAAAGGAACTAGAAAACTCGGAGACTGATGTATTTCGTTGTTGAAATCTCAGGTGATCATTTTTCAAAACTAACATTGAATATTTTCATCATGTCTCAGGTTCCCAGTCTGAACCTCCGTCATGCAGTGCCAGTTCCATCACTTGCCCATCTGCCTGCACCTGCAGCAACAATGTAGTGGATTGTCGAGGAAGGGGCTTAACAGAAATTCCAGCTAACCTACCAGAGGACATTTGGGAAATGTAAGTGCCATTGTAACGCATCATTCTTTTCCATGTCGCTCTGTTTTTGGCCCATGCCATAGCCTCCTCTGTGGAAGAAAGGCACATGTTTTGAACACTGTCTCCCGAGTGGTTGTCAGGTATATTGTAGTTGTCCTATTTGCTTTCATTCTTTTGTTCTACAGGCTCAAACCATTCTTTAATGTAAATTAAGATATTGTTTGAAATTGCCCTATCTCAAAGCAAGTTGAAGTCCTTGGCGTATTATGTTCAGATTACGTTTACATCTCACAAATCTGGGATTACAGTTCTATACTCAGGAAAAGGAAAGAGGAAGTCCTTTTTTTTTTTAAATGGAATTGTTTTATTTTTAGTTGGTGAATTCGCCAAGAGATGGACAGATTTCGTGTTAGCTTGGCAAGATACATTTGTAATGAAGTAAAGTATGACATCAGAACACATTGTCCCTCCTGATTTTACCTTCTATTTCTTGTCTTCCACATTTTGTTATTCACAGTTCTTTAACACTCTTGTGACTTTTTTTTGTGTTGTGAGATCAGGTACTGGTTTTACAGACTTGTCTTTACTACCTTTAGGAATTGTAATTATCTGGTTTTGAGTCCATGATGTCATACTACTGTGGTCCTGAAATACTGTTACATTAAACACATTGCTTTGGGTTAGTCCGTAGGGAATGCAGATCAGTTCTTTTCCTATTTACATGCTTGTCATACAGAGGTTACTGACATTCAACCATCTTTTATAGTCTAAATAGTATGAATTCAAATATTTGTATAGTGACTGGACTCATTCAGCTTCTGGTTGCCGTAGAAATACTGCTACATAGCAAAATTCACTAGGAGAAAACATAAGTTGAATTGCTCATATGTAGCCTGGACCACTACAATATGCCAGGAGTGTGACAGCTGTGGGCACTGATGATGTGCTTTATTCTTTGCTGGTGATCTGCTCTACACCACCGCTCCTCTAAGTCACTTTATCAATTGCTTTTATAATTTAAGATTCACCTGAAATTTGTTTGGATTGCTATCTCGGCATAACATTTAGAGGTAGCTTATGCTTGATTGTGGAACTCCACAGAAAAGATATGTTAGAAATTAAAAGAATAAACACCTTTAAATTGACATTGTTGAGAATGTATCTAGAGCATGTAAAAATACTTACAGGAAGTATAAACTCTTATGCAGTTCTGAATGCCCATTACCTGCTTGCTTGCCTCCTGACAAAGTTCAGGATGTATTGGTTGTGTTCATTTCCAGTATATAGTGACACACAAAATATGGATGTAATACTTGTTTTTCTGTGCATGAAAGTTGGTTAAAATTATCCCAAAAATATAAATTGTGTTTGGCATACTAAGAATATTGAATGTTTAGTCCTGTTTCCAATTCTGTCAGATGGAGTACAAATTTTCAGGAGTCGCTGGAATGGTTCAATAATAAGAGACAGAGGATGAAATTGGGCCTGACTTGCTCACAAATTAGGTTTGGGCTAGGAAAATTGTAAAAGTTTATTTTGCAGTGTTGAAAATGCTAGCTGAAATCGGATGATCTTTGTGGCTCCATGCCAGAGTCACACAGAGAGCAGTATCTGCAGGAAGACCGAGATTGGTGTTCTCCAGCACTCTCCTGACAGCAGTGCACCTCAGTGTGGGAAAGCAAGTGAAAATGTTCATCTTTAGTGGGGTTATAATAGCATCGAGTATCAAAGTCCTGTCTCTGTTTTGGTTGCTCCAGTCCAGAAACCTAGACCCTGTAAACTGTAGTAAAAGCAAGATCTCCTTAGGAGAGCAGAAAGCAAAGGAAGACTTGGAGAGCCTTTAAGTTAGGTGATGAGGTAGCAAGTCAATGCATATAACATTTTAAGAAATTTTCATAACCTGGAGGTTATAAACCTTCTAGATCCACAGAACACCACATAGAGCTCTTAGCACCCTGTTTAATGATTTAGATCTGTTAGAATGTCTGCATTTTAAGCAGTACTTATTTGAGTCGTCGTAGATAAACCTCTCCTATCGTGTCTTTTGCAACTCACGGGCACTTTAGGTGGTTGTGGTTCTGCAGAACTTCAGAGTGTAACCGTCATGAAAACATTTGCTGCTTGCTTTTTGTGGGAATCAGTCCTGTGAAGATTTCATTTTTATGGAATATATATATTAAGAAATGTAAGTAGTTCTATCAGAATAAGTCTTAGCAGGTGACATCACTTAATAGGGTTTTTCCTACTGGTAAAATGGTGTTTTCGTTTTGTAAAAGTACTGGCAAAGTACAGGCAAAGTATACATATTCTTACATAGAGTAAAGGATATAGTCACACAGACGATTGTTTCTGGAAGGATGGAAGAAGCTGCCACAGTGTTTTCCTAGAAAAATCCTAACATAAATTTCTTTGACCAAGAGAGCCTTTATGCTTTATGTGGAAGTCTGTCATACTGCTCAGAAATTCAGTTTGTCTGAGGCTGGTCTGGGCTTATTCAATATAAAATCCATCCAAGAGGTCTGGTTCCAGCTACACATGGAATAATGACTGTCTTTTGATTTGATATGGTAGGCAGAATAATACTCTTTTGCTGTAATGTTATAGCAATGGGGCCAAGTAAATTTTCTGTATATGCTGCAACCCACATCTCACACAGCAGTGCTGTTGCGTTTTTTCCTCTTGGAATTTATCCCCCACGGTTGGCATTTAGTGAGATCCTTTGTATAAAATGTGCTACGTAGTGGTGCTATCTGAACACTTCTTTCTGGACTCTAATCCTGTGATGATCCCTCATCATCTTTAACAGATCTAACTCTCACTAGAGATGGGGTTCCTCCTATGGAACATGGGGTACTGGCAAACTGCGTGGCTGGCTTGCTATTACATAGAATCCTAAGGGATATTACTTGAGATGGTGTATTTTTCATTCATCCGTTTCTATTTAGCGCTGTAAATACTCATTCCACTAAAATACATTTCCCCTATAGCCTGTAGTTCATTCATAATATTTATATGATAGTATTAAAATGCTGCGCCTTCCTGGGTTCCATCTGGGGCACTTCCAAGTTCCTTTGCCTGGTTATTAGTTGCATTCAGTTACAGCTTTCTAGTTCTTCTATTTCCCCTTAAGTCAGTATTTCTTTGTAAGCCAAATTGTAGCCAGTAAGAACCCTTGACTGACAAACTGTTCTACAAAAATGAAATGCACAGCTGTTACTGTAACATGGTTATTAAAGGTGACCTACATTTCACTCTGTGTTTCAGTATTAATTAAAGATCTTTTATTCAGCCTTCCTGCCTTTCTTTGTTAACATGGGTAGGCAGAACCTTCTCTGACAAAGCTGCCAACAAGTCCTAAATTTGTTTTTGTTGATAAAAACCTATCACAAAACATGCAACTCGCTTGTCACGGAACATAAAACAAGCATCATATGACACTGGTTTTCCCTTGCTGCTGACCTCTGCCACGTGTGACTTAGAAGTCGGTTGTGTTACTCTCTTACACCTCTCCCCAAGGTGCATTATCCTGAAGGCCCTCGTTGCAAGAATGTTTATTATTAAATAAAGGAATTCAGGAAAGCAAGAAATCTGTCCCCCAGCCTTGCTTTTTCATAATTTCATAAAATAGGTAGCAAGAATGTACAGAATGCAATTCATTTTTTTATAAAGCGTCTTGTTCAGTGGGGAGCTGACATCAGCAGCCAAATTGACTGAGGAAAAATGAGTTAGAAGAAATTGAAGCTGAGGAATCCAGACTGTGTGTTGTATGTTGTAAAATATTCTCTGCTTAGAAAGTGGTTCTCTTGCGTTTTTCTGAGGAAAAATGAACAGCGTATGTTATAGAGAAACACATGAGAATAAGCACTGCAAAGTTTTGCATGAATACTTGGATGAAAACAAAAGTCATTAAGCACCTGGAGGCATTTCCTGAAAAAGAAATACCAACGCAAATATAGTTTGATGGTAAATGAACAATGTAGTCATTTCACTACATTAGAACAACATCTACAATAAAAAGAGAAGTTTGCATTTATTTAGAAAGTGTGAGAGAAAATGCACGCAAGATAAATAGGGAACATAGTGCGAATGCAGAATGGACTTGACCTTGGAGAGATACAGGGAGGAAGGGATGACCTACAAACTAGTAGGGGACAAAGTTGCCAAAGAATCTGTTTTTCTGATCAGACTTGATCGCAACCTCGCAACCAGTGCCTGTCAGAGTGAATGACAGCTCATCCCATAGAGACAGCAAAGCCAGGATGTAGTAGAGACCTGTTAAATCTAAAGCTACAAGCTGTGCCTGTCACAGTCACTGCCCTGCAGCTTGTGGGAGCTTGGAAGGGTGTTGGGAGAAACGCGCTCGCCACGACAGCAGAATTCACTCAGCGTGTGGTTTGGGCTGTCGTTGGCTCAGGATATTGGGCTGGATGGACCTGAGCTCTGGCGCTGTCTGCCCGTTCTCCGTCATTAGCGTCTGGAGGGGTCTGGAGCACAAGTCTTATGAGGAGCGGCTGAGGGAACTGGGGTTGTTTAGTCTGGAGAAGAGGAGGCTGAGAGGAGACCTTATCGCTCTCTACAGCTACCTGAAAGGGGGTTGTGGCGACAAGGGTGTTGGCCTCTTCTCCCAAGTAACTAGCGATAGGACAAGAGGAAATGGCTTCAAGTTGCGCCAGGGGAGGTTTAGATTGGATATTAGGAAAAATTTCTTCACTGAGAGGGTGGTCAGGCATTGGAACGGGCTGCCCAGGGAGGTGGTGGAGTCGCCATCTCTGGAAGTGTTCAAGAAACGTGTGGATGTGGCGCTTCAGGACATGGTCTAGGGGACATGGTGGCGCTGGATTAATGGTTGGACTTGATGATCTTGAAGGTCCTTTCCAACCTAGTGTTTCTGTGATTCTGTGATTCTGTGGTCTGGTTGGCTTTATGCCGGGGAAAGGGCAGCTTTCCTGCACTTGCAGAGGTGTGGCACAGGGAGTAATGGCATTGCTCTAGCTCTGTCTGTAGTGTCTCAAACAGGATCC